AAGAATAATTAACAGAAGCGGATGTAGGGCAGGAAACTTAATTCTACATTGTTCATTTATTGAAGTTACCCTTAGTTTGTTCCTGTAATAAGGTTCTTTCTAGTTTGTTCCTGTACTAAGGTTTCCTCAAGTCTGTTCTTATACTAAGATTCTCTAGTTTGTTCCTGTACTAAGGTTCTCTCTAGTTTGCTCCTGTACTAATGTTCTCTCTAGCTTGTTCCTGTACTAAGGTTCTCTGCAGTTTGTTCCTATACTAAACCCGTCCCAGGTTGGTTCATTGCCTACCATCGTCTCTAGCGTCTTCCTGTACTAGTGCGTGTCTAAACCATCCTTGAATTTACAAATACAACACCTCAAAATTATCTTATCCCAACAGCAATATTGTATTTTAGTTCTTAACAGAGCGACAGTGCGCAAGCAACAACACTTTACATCAATAGTGTTGGACAAAAGATAGACCACACGCCTGACTCGCACCATCACCATGGCTGCTATTACCTTAACCCGCTACGTCACACGACAACAATGGCCTCCCTCCTCTCAACACAGCCCCCTCACCCCATCCCCTTCTTTCTTCCCCCGCCGACTTATGCGCTGGAATGCGGTGGGAATGGTTTCGGGAATAGAAAGGTACGTTAGGAATGCTGAGGCTCCCACGGTTGCTTTGTGTTGACCACCTGTGTTGCTGCTGGTGCGGCGACCACCACCACCTGTCCGCAAGCCGGTGACGCCCTAGAGAGATATTAGCTTTTAGTTGAGGCTTTTGTCCAAACGTGGCCTAGGATGGACCTGTAGGCCTACTATGTGTTTTGTTTTGAGTGGATGACACACAATTGTGTCCTTAGGCTGATAAAAGTCTTTTATTACGTAAAAAAACTTGAATACTGAGTGAACTTTATAAAAAACTGAGGATAAGGGTAATCTGAAACATTAACACACATTAAACAGGAAGGAAATAATCAGGAAACAGGACAAGTGTTTCCTGACGGGTCTTAATCATATGATGACCCACTTTCGGTCATTTGAACGAGGCCTTCCGCTGGCTTACTGGTCCACCCCTTTAAAAATTATGGTTATAATTACAAATATTAGAATTTTAGCCAAAATAACTACATATTTGATTTCCTATTTTAAAGTGATGTAAATAGGTTAGAAAACCGACGAGTTGAAGACTGGGACACTTTTGCAGGACATGGGAATCTTGAATGAGGAAACGTTTCGCCAACCAGTGGCTTCCTCTAGACCTTTGGTGTTTCTTAGGTCTCGTGAAAGGACGTAGCTTGCAAGGCCAACAGGCTTACTACAGTTCTCCTCTATTTTCATGTTCTTTCGCATCCATATATGCATTTCGACTACTGTCCACCAGAGGCACCGTAAACCTGACACTTTAACATAATTTTCAATTGGTTTAAATGACTATATTCCCATAAAAATTATTCCGAAAATATCAAATCTGGATCTAAATCTTTAAACGAATATTGTGCCATAGCGATTTTTCAGTGCTCAGCACCGTACACTTTCTCCAAATTTGAGCCAAATAATTGTTTAAGCTTCCTAGGTGACCAAAATCCCTGCTTAGGGGAGGAACGTTGCGACGACGTCATTGGTGAATTGTTCCATGACTCATGAAACCGTAATGAAACGACTGCAAACGAACCACGGTACGGGTGGGGATAGAACCCATGGCTAGTGAGTCGTAAAACCCCAGGCCAATAGCCATTGGGCCAGCTGGCTACATTAACATTCATGTACTTAGGTATAAATATACCTAGTTGGATGGATCTTATTTTAGCCAGCTGGCTCAGTGCCTAACGCACTAGCCTGGAGTTTTACGACTGACTTGCCGTGAGTTCGATTTCCACCCGTGGTTTCAATTTTTCCAGCTGCAATGTGACTTTGCATTCTAGTGTTTGTTTCGCCGCCTAAGACTTAAGTCTTACTCGATGCAATACAACATCTACGCATGATATAGATATTCACGTTATAAGTATTAAAGTTATGTGGTGGTGGTGGTGATGGTTGTGACTGTGTGGTAGTGGTGATGGATTGTGAGGGGGGGTGAATGAAAGGGGATAGGAAGCCTGGTGGCTGTGGGGATGGGGGGACGTTTTGAAAGTGGAGGAGAGAGGGGAAGGGGAGGGGAAAGGTGTGGGGCCATAACCTGTGTGGAGGAATCCGTCCAGCCGGCTCCTACGTTCCCACGCCTCCCCTCCGAACAACAAGGACCCACGTCCTGCCCCCCACCAGACACCTTCCTGCCTTGGTTACCAGATTCCTGGCCCTGCCTCGGGGCTGTTACCCACAACCACGTACACGTACACACGCCCGGGAACAACTGCGCAGCGACTTCTCCCCAAAACAGTTTTCTGAAACAAGACTGGGAGACAGAGCCCCAGCACAGCGCCCTACCGGAGTAGTTGGGTAAACTCATTCAGTCGTTCACACGCCCTCTCTCCACTCCTGGTTTACCAAGACCGCATTAAGGTGTCTATGCCAACTGGTGCTTGTCGACTACGAGGCACCAACCAACAGCGGACAAAACGTCTCAATATGCGGTCACAAACCACATACTGCGTTTCATTAACATGCTTGTCGGCGTATTTATCCATCGATAAACAAGGATCCATATTACGCTGAACACTCTCCTGGTCATCGTTCCCTCATTCAGTCTGCCGCGATTTGCCTGATGTCCTGCCTGGCTCATGGTCCTCCGCCCGTTGCTCCTGAGATGTCTTTACCAATAAATTTTTAAGTCGAGATCTTGACTACTAGGCATTATTTTTTGATATTTGTAATTGTTAGAATATTATGCTTCTGAATAACCCATTTGAAGTTGTGGTTTGTAAAATACGTATTATATATCGTTAAGTTTTCTTTTTGAACAGCAATTTAGGGGCAAATATTAATGAAATCTCAATATGAAAAATAACTCCGGGAATTATTAAGATTCTGTTAATTTTCAGAGGTGTTTTGTGTGTGTGTGTGTGTGTGTGTGTGTGTGTGTGTGTGTGTGTGTGTGTGTGTGTGTGTGTGTGTGTGTGTGTGAACCCGCGCGCTACTGTGAGCGTGCAGCAGCAGTAGCAGCATCCAGATCCCCAGGGCAAGAAAAGGGTGTCGGTAGCAAGCGTGAGATTCAGGTGTCACAGGCGTGGGAGGTGTCACGGGCGTGAGATGTAACAGGTGTGGGAGGTGTCACGAGCTTGGGAGGTGACACAGGCGTGGAAAGTGTAAGGGGCGTGGGAGGTGTCACAGGCCCCGCTACGTATCCTCATCAAGGAGGAAGATCCCACCACCTGTCTATATCAACAAAGATTCCGGTGTCTATTCCTGCGAAGATAAATTCAGAACCTACCCTCGTTGCGTCTGATCCAGAGTCACAGAGGACTCTACATCGTCTGGCCCAGTTACGATGACTCTACATCGTCTGGTCCAGTCACAGAGGAATCTACATCTAGAAATTCCCTCTCACTATCAAGAATCTCACTGTTCATGAAAAACGGCAAAAAAAAAAAAGTGCGAGAAAAAGTCGAATACGTAATCAAATCGAGTATGAGATCCTCCTGTGAGGAGCAATACTGAGGTCAGACCTCGAGGACCCGGAAACAAGGAGCAGTTACGTCAACATGTTACGTTCCAGATAGTGATTACAAGGGCCAGTTACTGCACACCTGGGGCCAAACTGTCCTCATTTAACTTTCCTCCATTTCTGAAGGTTCCTCTGAACTTATATATATGTTCTTTTGTTTATCCCGAAAAAAAAAAACAGAGTACAATGTACGGTTTTTTTAATCAGTGAAAAAAAATATTTGTACTTTATAAAGCGTCTATTACCCTACAAGAATATCTAAGCGTAAACTGAATATAGATAAGTTTCTAGTTAAGGGTAGATATTCTTAGCTGTTGTTCTTTATTGTCTTATTTTTCTTGGACGAAAATAATGTAGTGTTTAGACACAACAAAAGAATAAATGAAATATGGGGCAAATATTAAATATATACGTAACAGGTTTAGAGAGAGAAGTGTGAAAAAATTGTGCTGGATGGAGGCCTGATAAAAAGGAGCAGCAGCCATCTTGTAAAGAACATTAGAACAAAAGGATCACTGCCATAGGCCTACTGGCCCATGGAAGGCAGATTTCTGCCTACACCCAACCATTTCTACTCGTGGAAAAGACACTTTACAAGTTCAAAATTATTTAAGGAAACGTTTTCGCCACGAGTGGCATTCGCCACTCTGCGATAAATCGTTTCCTTTTATAAATGTCTGACTGTACATAAGTGTCTTTTTCCACATCATTGTCGGTTTCACCTATACCATTTCCTCATTTCTATCGTATATCTGTCTAGTCCATTTCTAAGCGACTAAAATTAGCTTTGATGACGTTACTTGGCAATTTGTTCCACTATCATGGACCTCACTATTATTTACAAATCTGATTTTTTTTTTAAATCTGCTGTTGAGTGGGATACTAGTGTGATAATATGTTTTATTTATATCCTATTGCAAATGCCTTTGCTATGAACGGGTTCTGAGTGAGGGTATTGAGGAACTTGAAAGGACTCATGACTGAGTGTGGGTGAGTGTGAATTGTACCTGCCTATCATGGACCACTAGGCCTACCCCAGTATTCCTTCATTCTTATGTTCGTATGACAAAGGTGTTCATGAGTTAATAGGGTTATCAATAAGCTTATTCCTTGCGCAGCACTGGAAATGAGTTGAGCAAATATTTTTGGGTTTGAGAAAGGTTTGGGTTTGAGAAAGACGTACCTAGCATGGACCAGCAGGCCTGCTGCAGTGTTCCTACTTTCTTACGTTCCTTACGATGGTTGCCATAAAGTGAGCCCCACCAGGCTGAGTGGTGCTCACTTTAAAGCGACCTGGTTCTTTATGGGACCAGGCCTGAGTGAGGCTGGGACCGGACAACCGGGGGTAGGGAAAATGTTGGAAGAAAGAGATGATCTCCGTTACAAGCTTCAGGTAATCGAGAAGTAAACTCACGTCTTTCTTCATGGCGTCGAGAATCAAAGCCTTGAGTTCGTTGAGGCAAGTGTTGATCCTGGCTCTCCGTCTCTTCTCCATGATGGGTTTGTTACTCTGGGGGAGAGGAACTATCTAAGCCGGTACAGAGGGTCATGCACAAATGGGGAATCAAACGTAGTCACGTGAGGGATGGGTAATTTCAATTCCTTGGACTAAGAGCTCTTCACTAACATCTAGGCACCCTCCCCTCACCTTCCCCTCCCTTCAGCCCCTTTGAAGGTTCGGAAGCCTTGCCTCTAGTCGGGTCAGTTATTTACTAGGATATGTTACTGCTTAAACAGTACCTAATAATATTTAAAAAGCATCTAATGCTATTTAAATAGCATCTAATGCTATTTAAATACACGTAAACTATTTAAATAACATCTAATGCTATTTAAATACACGTAAACTATTTAAATAACATCTAATGCTATTTAAATACACGTAAACTATTTAAATAGCATCTATACTGTTTAAATATACCTAATGTTATTTAAATAGTATTTAAACTATTTTAAAGGTATATATTGTAATATAAATCATATATAATGCTATTGTAATTGCACCTCATGTTATATACAACATGTAATATAAATCTAATGTTTTTAAATATAAATTATCATATTTTAAATCGCACCTACCAGTTTTTAATAGCCCCTTCCACTTCTAAATAGCACTATGCCGTTTTTAAATGGCATCTACCACTTTTAAATATTACTACCCATTTTGAAATGCCACTGACCACTTTTTAAATGTCACCTAATAGAACCTAACACCATTAAAATAGCGACTACAGCTTTTTAAATAGCCCCAACTATTTTTGAGAGAGAAGCTATCTAGCTACCTATCTATCTACCTACTGTTTAAACAACAGTTACCACTATTTAAATGGATCTATTTAAATAGCATCTACTATTTACTATTTAAATACAACCAACCACTATTTAAATAGTACTTATCACAATTTAAAAATACCTCTCGAAATTATTCCTTGCACCCATGTCTAGAGGGTAATTACCTTCAGAACTAAGTTTTTAATCACGCTCCTTCACGTTATATTTGTAAAATGTAATTGATATGTAACTGAAATATAATTAAAATATAACTGAAATATAATTAAAATATAATTGAAATATAACTGAAATATAACTGAAATATAATTGAAATATAACTGAAATATAATTGAAATATAATTGAACTGTAAAAGTATAAATTACTGTCTTAATTACGGTATATAAAAAACAGCAACAAAAGCAGAGAGGAAATCAAAGAGGTCGTACCTTCCTGAGCTCAGCCTTAGAGAGGGGTAAGGTGTCGTGGTGCTGGTCGTCGTCATCGAGGATGTGGGGGTTGTCGTCCCCGTCGTCTTCCAAGTGACCCTCGGTCATGCTCAGTACAGACAGCATCTTCGCTCGCGTCTCCTGTCACCCTTTTTTTTTCTTTCACCTGTTCTCCCTCCGTATCACCACCACCACCTGGTGTGGCTCTCTAGACGTGTCACCTTGGTGACACTTCAAGTACCACTCCTTCCTCTTGGTGTTTTATCTGAGTGGCACCTTCGTCTTACTCCCTCTTTTAGGTTTTTTAAGTGCCACTATCTTTTGGGGTCACTCCATCCTCTTGATTTTCCCCCAGTTGCCACTCCTACCCTTGCAAAAACACCATAAACTTTGTCCTCTAATCTAGAGATATACACTATTCAAGGCTGAGTTAGAGCTGCTGTTTGTGATCCTTCGGTCGAGGTTCACAACACTATGGTCATTGAGGGTCACACTGGTGGGTATAATAAGTTCGCAAGACTTTGTAATCGGGGATAAATCACGATGGAAATTCACGGGAGGAGAGCACCGACTCGTGGAAGACCTCGCCAGTCGCACGTGAGATCGGTGTCTCCGTCAGGTGGGGCGTCGGGTGGAGGTTGTCACCTGCGTCATCCTCCGGCAACGACTGAGGGCAGTGCGGAGCGTGCGTGCGTCGGTGTGTGCCACTGGGTGAACGGTAAGTGAGAAGTTCCCAACCACTTCCCCTCCTATGTATCCCCCCCTAGGATTCTCCAACTCCCATCCCTCCTTACTGCCCTACCTCCCTCCCTCTCCCACGATTCCTACCTTCCTACGGCCCCTCCCCCATCCGTTCCTTCTCCCGATACTCATTCTTTTGCCTGAGCCAATGCTGGTGCATGTCCCCTCCTCCACCTGCCAGCCCCTCCCCAACAATCACCCCTCCTTCCATATAGCAGATGTCCAGCCATAACCTTCCCCACCCTGCATCCTCTAATCGTGTTCGTAGATATATAATGTAGCCCAAATTTCTCTCCCCCATCCTTTCCTTGATTCTGCTATATTTAATTTTTGCTCCATCGTTCTGTGACAGATATCTTCACAAAAATTCCAGTTCTTCTGCATATGGGCTGGGCCATCCTGAGAGATGGCAACTCCCAAGTAATAGTAACCTGAGCTCTACTGGAACGAAATCTTAACGATCTTGCTGAAGTCTTCCCTATCAAACTGACAGATTTTAATATTATGCATGAATTCCACCCTGAGTGATAAATTGTAGTAGTGATGCATTTTGTATCTAGCTTTTGCTCCCACTGTTAAGCTGCCATAGAAAATCGAATAGCAGCACACTATTCCTGAATCAAATTTTGTTAAGAAAGCAATCGTGACTGACAGAATTATTCATTGCCGCTGAACCGATTAGTTTATTGTGGACCCCCGAATCAATTCATCCTTAGGACGGTAGCACAACAGCATGTTGTGCACAAAAGGCCTAGGAATTAGCCCCGAAAATGTTGACATTAGTACGTCAAGATATACAGTATATCTACAATGCATGTTAATATGCTGAAAGTCGATTTAGGATATTTACTTAAAAAATGGCTGGTAACTTATTGCTATGCAAGGTGAACACACCAGGTACGTCAAATATTACAAGTATATTGATGTAGAGTTGTAGACGATTCCTCCAGTGACCGAGAGAAGTAAAAATTGAACACTTTTATATAAGACCAAGCCTCTAATATTATTGTTTTGTTGCAAAGCTTTCTCTCGATGCTTTGTCTCGTAATAAAACATAAAAGACACACGAAAAAGTTACTAATTTTTCATTCTTTAGGCAACAACCTGGTTGATCAGACCTGATCCACCATGAGCCTGGTCTCAGACCGAGCCGCGGGGGCGTTGACCCCCGAAACCCTCTCCAGGTAAACCCCAGGTAACATCACTCGGCTAGTGTCCTGGTCCACTTATTTCGCCGTTGCTATATAAACTTCGTCTCATATAGATTATGCTTCATAACAGGGTTTAAGTGTGAGATTTAAATATACCATCACACACACACACACACACACACACACACACACAATCACCAATCTCAATCCCTAATTGTGTTTCCAGAAGTGCAGGTATACAAATCCGGGACGTGACGAGTACACGCCATCCCTCTGTGCATACAGGGAATTACCAACAAACCTCTGGCGGTCTTCAAGAGAGACGTGGACAAGTTCCTCAGAGCCTGACCAGCCCTGTTGTGGTTCATACATTGGACTGCGTGTGGCTTGCAGTAACAGCGTGATTGATCAGGCTCAGGAGGCCTGTTCTGGGACTGAGCTGCGGTGGCATTGACCCCCCAGAAGAATCCTTCAGGTGTTATTCAAAGAAAACTTCAGTACATGCTGGAAGTATTCAGATGCTGAATGAAAGTTATCCGTGTATTTAAGGATGTAAATGGAAAAAGTATTAAAAAAAAGAGGGAGGGTGAACTCCATCCCTTTTACTTCAGCACCTTCACTACTTGTGTATTGAAGAGGGAGAATTCCATCCTCTTTAGTCCCAACTCTTTCATATTTAAGTATTGAGGAAGGGGAAACCTATGTTCAATTCACTACTTTTTAAAAGCCTGTGCCTATCCATTTTTTTATTGAGTTTGCTGAGAATTTTGCATGTTACGAGTATGTCTCTGGTGTTGGGTTGCGTTCTTAGTCTCTCCTCATTGTTCATTTCCTTCAGTTCCAGTATCAGTCTTGTTTCGAATCATTGGATCTACTCTAGTTTTGTGTGTTTAATCATGTTGGGACTCCATGCTGGAGCTGCATACTTACAGAGGGAATGAACGTATGTTGTGCATATTGTTCATGTTCCTGAAAATAGTTTTTAGGCATATACCGCTGAAATTATACGTCTTTTTTTATGTATCTCTGGTGATATGCTTGGTGCGTTGTCTACTTTCAGATTCTTAACATTACCTGTTGTGTGCAGCTTCTCTGCTCGTAAGTTGTATTCCGTGTCCAATCTTCTTCATCTCTCCCCTATTTTCGTTACTTTGCACTTAACGGATTCAGTGCGCAGTGGCTTTCCTGAACACGTTGGCAACCTGTTCATGTATTAGTGAAGCCTCAATCTGTATGTAAAATCTCCTTCCTCAATAATTTAGCATCGTCCATAACATTATGGATCCAAATGTCGTACTATCGGTAATAGTGACAAAAAGACAAAAGAAAGGAAAAACAAAGCTTTGTGTAGAGATTCATCATGTCAAGACTTGATGTAGCTCTACACAGAGGGAAAAGTTGACCCATTAAAAGCTAGAGAATGTACAGAACCTAGCACGTATAAGTCCATAACACCTACACTGAGCCTGAGCACTTGACTTTCTCACTAGAGCGCAGCGAGAGAGATATATCATATCACACTGGAAGACCTCAAGGAAGGTTCCTTGATGTGGTGAGGCTCTGATTGGGAATGGATCTGTGCTCAGTTCCCCGATTAAGCCTGATGCTTCACATCCCCTAGGCTGTATATCCCCGTTAGCGATTCCCTTGATTAATAATATATAATAATATACACCTGGAAGATTCTGGAGGGACTGGTTCTAATATGCACACAGCAATCACTCCATACGAAAGCAAAAGACTTGGCAGGCGATGCAACATAGCCCCAGTGAAAAGTAGGGGCGTCAATGGTACACTAAGAGAAAACACAATAAGTGTCCGGGGCCCAAGACTGTTCAACAGCCTTCCCACCAGCAATAAGGGGCATTACGGGAAGACCCCTGGTTGTCTTCAAGAGGGAGCTGGACAGATATCTAAAGACGGTGCCTGATCAGCAGGGCTGTGGTTCGTACGTTGGATTACGTGCGGCCAGCAGTAACAGCCTCGTTGATCAGGCCCTGATCCACCGGGAGGCCTGGTCGTGGACCGGGCCGCGGGGACGTTGATCCCCGGAATTCCCTCCAGGTAGACTCCAGGTAGGTAGACATACCGATCCACACAATCACTCGTCGAATCGTAACATCGCCCATCCGTCTTTTACACTACAATATCTTGTCAAATTACAAAAATCACTTGTCTCCACTCCCATCTCATGTGCTTACACATGCCTGTCGGATACACAAGTCCCTACATCTGAAAACTTCATCAGTTCTCATCTACTTTGTTTTGTGTGTGTGTGTGTGTGTGTGTGTGTGTGTGTGTGTGTGTGTGTGTGTGTGTGTGTGTGTGTGTTGTGTGTGTGTGTGTGTGTGTGTGTGTGTGTGTGTGTGTGTGTGTGTGTGTGTTCACTTTCAACCTTCCTCCTTTGATACATCCTTGGAACTTCCTTCACCAACTTTTGCCAGTTCACTGAATCTCTGAAATACACCGCGTCATCAGCAAAGTGCAACTGTGACATTTTTCACTTTACGGCATTCATCTTTTTTTTTTTTTTAAAGCCCGCACCTCTCGCCATTACTGTAGCATTTAACTTACTTTTAAACCTCAGTTTTCAACACAGCAACGGCGACATCAAGCATCGTCAAAGTCCCTTGTTTACATATTCTAACCTGAGCCTCAACATCCTAATAAAAGCACTTAACAGGTTTTAAGAAGTTACTACATATTCACTTATTTGCATATAAATATTGTTTATTTACAGTACTCATTCCACAAATATTTTTTTCAGTATTTCCTTTTCCCTTTTCAAATTTACATTGTTACTCTGCTTAGCGTCAGCTGTAAGCAGCTAGCCTCTCCTATGTTGGATCACCTTTATGTAGCCAGAATGATTCCGTTGACTTTCTCACAAGCACAGTCCAGGGATGAAGAGCTCATTCCTTTGTTTTGTTTAAGTAACAAGGATGCTTCATCATTCGTCAATATTTCAGAGTTGTATAACAATGACGGATGTAGTTCTTTTTCCTTTCCCTTTAATAATATCAATAAATATAACGAGAAGAGGGGAACACTGCTGACATCAGTCCTACAGGCGAATGCTCCGTGGAAATTCCTGTTGCGGCATGAAGAACTGGATGCACAAGTCCAGTTGTTTAAGGACAAAATACCCGACCAAACCAGGAAGTACGATTATAAGCACTGGTTCACACGCTATGGCCGCCACGCGCCCAGCTACCCTTTCTACCCAAGCCACCCTGCCGATCCCAGCTTCCCAGATACTTGTATTTCCTAAACCAGACCACAGAGCTACCAGGTAGGAGGGCAGCCACCATCTACCTCCACCTACTTTAGCCAAAACTCGAGTTGCCAGTCCATCAGCACACTGTCTGACGGTATAAAAGGTTTCACTGCCAATGTTGAGGACCGGGCCACCATCTGGAAAAGACCCGGGCCGGGACTACACCGGCGAACCTACTACTCACTAAATGTTGGCGAGTTCATGCACATTTTCCGGAACATTCGTCGTTCTACTGCGACTGTCGTAGAATCCTATTGCCGTATTGCCGACTAGTGAAGGAAAGGCGTACGATGTAGAATAAGCTCTTTTACTGCGACAATGTTTCGCTCTGTTTGGAGCTTGAGAAAGCTTATACAGAGCAAAACGTAGTCTCAGTAAAAGCATTTTCTTTACTGTAACCTGTCTTCCCCACAGTTAGGTTGGGATAGGTAAGATTCGTCAGGAAACAGGACAAGCGTTTCCTCACGCGGGTCTTAGTCAAATGATGACCCACCGTTGGAGTTTTTGGTCATCTGACCGAGGCCTTCCACTGGCTTCCGGTCCACCCATTAAAAAATTATGCTCATAGTTATAACCATTTCTTCCCTCATAGTATTTGAAAACTTCTTGGAAGACTGGTCATGTGAGAATTCTGGCATCATTACTGTGTGTGTTCACTGACTCTGCATAATTTATATTTCATTTATTTTAGTTTAGGTTGCTGACCCCTAAACGAAAAGGTAACCTTGACACCAAAGGTGGAAAATGCAGCCATATAAATAGGTCGTCATATATAATTCGAGGACGGGTTCAACAGGTAGGCTCAGGTAGAGTAGCAGTGAACAGGAAAAAAACAGTCAAGGAAATAAAAGAATTGCCAGAGGATTTCCACCACTCCCAAGGAAAATACTGTTTTTTTGCACCAAAACTAACTAGAGACATGACAAAGTCTCGATAAAATTTACGCTGTATCAAAAACACATATCGACAGTGTTTTTATTTGGGGAGTTTTTATTTTTTAAAAGAGTGTTGAAAACTTGCTCTGGTAGGCCAGCGGATGACTTAGCCATTTAACAGGTCAATATATGACAGTGTTGGCACATATGTAAAGCAGTAAATATGTAAGGCAGTAAAGCAACAATAAAGAACTACAGACCGATAACACTAACATCCCATAACATAAAAATCTTTGAAAGGGTCCTAAGAAGCAAGATCACCACCCATCTAGAAACCCATCAGTTACACAACCCAGGGCAACATGGGTTTAGAACAGGTCGCTCCTGTCTGTCTCAACTATTGGATCACTACGACAAGGTCCTAGATGCACTAGAAGACAAAAAGAATGCAGATGTAATATATACAGACTTTGCAAAAGCCTTCGACAAGTGTGAGCATGGCGTAATAGTGCACAAAATGCGTGCTAAAGGAATAACGGGAAAAGTTGGTCGATGGATCTATAATTTCCTCACTAACAGAACACAGAGAGTAGTCGTCAACAGAGTAAAGTCCGAGGCAGCTACGGTGAAAAGCACTGTTCCACAAGGCACAGTACTTGCTCCCATCTTGTTCCTCATCCTCATATCTGACATAGACAAGGATGTCAGC